GTATCTGGAGTTTCGAAATATAAAGCTTTCTTTTAAGCTGCGATCCCCTCCCCGCGGGGATGTTAGTGCATGCGGCCCTTAGTGTACGGAAAACTCATAATAGCTCAAACATCTTTTGCGGTCACATTATTCACGAAAATTCATACTTCTTTCGTTCTTTTTTTAAATACCATTTGAAATGACTCTTTTCCTGGTCCCATATAGGTGACGAGGAGGTGAGTGAGGAATTTTGGTCAACTGTTCTTTATGTTTTTAACCCAAAAGTAGCGAACTATTCCATCGAAAATATGATCACAAAAAGCAAGGAGAACAGGTAATCTGAGAAAATTAAGAGAGATTGTCTATTAGGAAGGAGCCATCTTGTAAACCCCACGCTACCAAATTTTTTACTCAAAGCTACCTTCAGTTGAGGCTCAAACCGATCCCGTGGGCCATTGAGGATTTCGTTTTTCTAAAAAGAGGCAAATCCGAGGAGTCGCGGGCTACTATGAGGCCGCACTCGTTGCTACTATTTATGGATATGTTGCCACCCTTTTGATAGCAGATGCCACATTAGATAATAACTGAGCCTTGGATATATCCAAAGACACCTTTTAACATACACTATCATCATCGCGCCAAATTTTTATCAATATCAATAACCCGGGAAAACACATCAACGAAAAAGAAAAGATTTGTGCCGGAAGACGAGGTGGCTCCGTCGTTGTACGTTCGTCACTGCTTCGGTTGCTCCTCCCTCTGTATCTGTTGGCATCTGGCGAGCATCTCCGTTGAACGATCAGCGTAAACAATCGTAAGGGAAAGAGACTGATAACCTCGAGAATGCAATAAGATAGGAGAATAATGATGATAGATTTACATACCAAATATGTACAAGTGGCAATCTTACAACGAATACACAACACAACAACACACACAACAAGCACAACAATACAGAGACAACACACATTACACATAAAACACACACAGCGCAACAACACACACGACACACACAGACAATCAGCTATATATGATAATTACGCTAGACCGTCTAAAACCTCCTGCCGAGAAGTTTCCTGGACCTCGTTGTGGTGAGGTGCGATACCAGCCTCAAGGACAGCGGATATTATCAATATTTTTACTATTTGTAAAAAAAATGCAACCATTACAAAACTATACAAGCGACAAATTTCCATTAGAAACAATTAGAAAGTTGAGTAAATAGAGTCAAAAAAACTCATGGAGTACTGGAAAAGTGACGGATGTTCCGCGCATGCTTGTTGAGCCTGAGGCTATTGTTGGAGGCTGTATAAACTAGACATTTTGATTTCTGATCGTACACGCTGTCCTCGTTTATACTAGCATATGTTGCATATTTCCACTTTTTATCGGTGACCTACTCAGTTTTTGACCTATGTTTTATTCAGCTCGCTTCACTAAGTCATGAAATGCCAATTCAAACAGACTTTTCTGGTCATTTTGTTCCGTCCGTCATTCTCCGATTTTGAATTTCGGAAGAAAATTTGATAACTAAACGTTTTTGAAATTTGAGTTATTTTAGCTTCTATTTATTTTGAGATGGTAATTTTTCCTTAGGAAAACTCTACTCTGTGTGAATTTTTTCATTTCTTTTCATCAGTAAGTTGTGGAAGTGTTTTCCTTAAATTGATATAGATAATGATAATATCGCATTGTTTCTGAGGCTGAGATCGCACCTCAGCCGATGAAAGGAGATCTCTTGGCAGTATGTTTCAGACGGCTAGCGTAATCATTCTCACATGCGGCGACGCTGATGACAGCCCTGGCAACTGGCTGCTACAGCTGACGCCTCGGTACCACTTGCACGCCTCCCGTTAAAGGCAGTGCCCCGGCAGAATCGCGCCCTGGGGGATACTGTTATGGGGGGGGGGGGGGGGGGGTCCTGGTCATCCCACTGACCTCCAGGTGCAGTCCGGCTGGTTGATGTTTCCCCTGGGGCGAGAATATAGCTCTTGAAACTGCGCGCGCGACGGATTTGCTTGTTCTGTTCTGTGCGGGACCCCACCATTGTGCATGCTATCCAAAGCAAAAATTACAGTCGGCAGGGTCTTCGTGCCAGGGCCTCCCAACATTCCATCTAAATTCTCGCCCGAGCTGCTTTTTGGAAATTGGTATAGGCCACCCGCGCTGCGCTCGGGGAACAACGCTGTTGTGTCTATTGAAGGCAGTTCAGAGTAGAGGAGGCGCAGAGAAAACACGTGGCGGGAGTGCACGAGCAAAGAGTAGTGACGCGCACTACACACCTTGCGCATTCTCCGCGCACTGCGCGGACGGCCTATAAACGCCCCGATATGTCTTTTCATCCTTTTAAAAGCTCAAATTCGGAGTCTACGGGTCGAAAAGGTAAAGCATGCAAAGAGTCTTTAAAGACAGCGTCTGGGCAAGATCTAAGTCAATCCCATTGGTACCTAACCTGTATGTAGGCCCAGCAGAGGGTTATCTACATTGGTACTATTCTCCAATGCTGTTTCTGGATGGAGATAATGGGTCTGAAACCTTCAAAAGCCACAACCCTCTTAAGCTCCGCTCATCCAGATTATAATATAGTGTGGACCCCGGCCAGGTTCTCATATGTACCTCCGCAGCGCATACGCAGCGCGCGCACTATTGACGCTTCTCATCCCATATGAACGAAAAATCATTTTTCAGACAAGATAGAAGTGAGACAAGAAGTGGAACCCTCTGTTCTCACCTCGAGAAAAGCTTAAGCAGAAAAAAAAACGCGTCCACTTCCACGAACACTTGGTTTCTTGTCATTCTCATGCATACTAGTATAAAACTACCACTGACGGGTGAAAATCGTAGAAATAGCGAAAAGAGGATTACTATCTGAACGACTCTTCTGCAATCATTGAAAAACTAGAAGCATAAGCTGGAGAGCGTAATTATACAAGCTGAAGCTTCAGTGCCGCATTGAAAAGGAACTAAAAGATTTAGACAAAACAAACTTAATCGGATAGTTCGTTTCTATACAAAACAAATTCGATCGAATAGATACGTTTGATCCGTGATAGAAACCCTGAAGAGAAATCTCTTTAAAACATACTTAATCGTTATTGCGGAGGAAAAAAACGAGAGCTTTTGAGGCAGAAGCTCGAGGCAGAAGCTCTCAAGACTTTTGAGGCTCGTAAAAACTTGTCATCATTAGTTGGTGTGATCCGTTTAACCCTGAAAGAAAGAGATTACAGAAAAAACAAAGTTAATAAAGAGAGGAACGCATAGAAACCAATAGGTCCTGGGGCGAAAAGAGCACTGAAGGCATGCGCTGCGTTCGCGGCGCGGAGGTACATATGGGAAGCTGGCCGGGGTCCACACTATAGTCTTGTGTCTCCAGATAGAGGTATTCAAAAATTAGGTTTTTTGGAAATGCACATTTTGCTTCATAACTGCAATCACAGAATTTCAAGAGGCGTAACGCACTCCGCTTTGCTAGTGGTCAAATTAGCGAACTGTGCATTAGCGAAGCGAAAATCTCCTTGATCCACTTCATCCACTTCGCTATCGTGTTTTGTTTATGTCAATACGTTCCACGATCATGGTCAAACTCCTAATTCTCTTAGGATTCCATAAATCCGGATGATCTGGTCTAGAGACCGGCACTTTTCAGGACTAAAGAACTTTTTAGGACTTTGATTAAAGGAGTTTTCGTTTCTTTTTCTGTATCATTTACATAATCGTAATGCTAATCAATTTTTAGTCTAAGATCAACAACAAAAGTCTAAACCTTTTCAGCACCTCTCGTACATAAAGCTGCGATATAATAAAGCTGAGTATGGTTGCATGTCTTATGGAAATATCAAACCCATAAATATTAGGTTGTTGCAAAAATAATGTCCCTTTTGCAAATTTTCACTTTGGAAGGCTATAACTTCGTTCAGTCTCCATATTTTTGAATGCAGTCAAGACCTTCAAAAACACCAAACCTTTCTTAACTTAGTGCGTCCCTGCCCATACTGATATCGCAAACGGGAAGAAAATCATGCATCAGAAAACTGAAAGTTTTTCTCTTGAAAACCTCGTCTCCAAGAGCTTACAACTCCCTTCAAGCTATGTCCCTATGTCTGCTAATTAGCTTATTTTGTAGCCGCAGGCCAATAGTATAGGTGTGTATAGAGAAAACTCCAACGAAGGAGTTCTGCGAAAAGAAAAAAGAAAAATTCAAAAATGTTCACTCTTTTGGGCCTATTTGTTGTAGGCTTGTAAGTGCCTAATTATGAAAATTTGGAATTCTTCGCGCACTGAATAGCTAAGTTTCTCTTCAAATAATGTAGTTAAGGTGTGCTAATTTCAAGCTTACAGAAATGGGCGAAGCTTTGGCGATTGCTCAATTATGAGAAATTTCTGACCCATAGTATGCCAGCAGCGAGTGTCTATTTCGACGCGTCAGTTTCTCAGTCCACATTTCTCCAAAAATCTACATAAACATGCAATAGGTAAACAATCTTCATTTAATACACTTGCTATGTTTTCAGAAGAATTCGTTTATTTGCTCCTGAATTGTGGTCAAGAAAGTGGAAGCTGTGAGATTCCGATTTTAAGTGCGGAGGTCGAAAATGCTGGTGAAATTCTCACAAGTGAGGGTATCAGATTAATTTCACCGCCATGAGAAAGTACATGAAGAGAGCTTTTCAATGATATGCAGATGCTATATCGAAAAAAAGTCTGATGGGAAAAAAGTTGTTTGAATTATAGGTCTAGAAAAACGGACATTATTTGTGCAACAACCTAATATTCAAGGGAAAACACGGGCGATTCCTAAAAAACAACAATGAATATAGAAGCTTCAAAGTTTAACAATTAGTAGTTACCATCTGCCTTACGTAATCAACCTCTAAAACTCAACTTTTCAACTAACAGCTTCAGACTCAGTTTTTAGCACAAAGTTCTGAATGGTGGGTATGGTAGAAAGCTTCTTACAAAAATTTAAAACCACGACCTCGATTTTTCTCCAAATTTTCTTTAAATTTTTGCAAACTTTTCAGGTGTATCCTTCGTTTCCTTCTCAAACGTTTCCAAATCATATAACGATTGCCACTGGTCTTTCTCCTGGTCATAATGGAATTGGTAAATTTTGTTTGACACATTGTAAATCCAATCTGCTAGCTCATCATTACAGTGGGTAACTACATATACGACCTCAATATTAGTTCTAAACCTGAGTATCTAGGCACATCCTTCATGGACGGGCACCTTACGAAAGAACCGGTAGGTTCATTTTTTTATAAAAAGATTGGCACCGGCTGGCGTTACCGATACTATCTTTTTGGGAAAGGAAAAACACAGCTGTCTGATTAAAGCAGAGCGCGGACTTTTTATCTTAATATCTCTAAAAAAATGCCGTCAGCTGAAAATTCAAAGCTTTTTGGTCAGCCAAAAATTACCTTCATCCTTTTTCTACCTGTCGCGGAGTGGATGTGCAGCTTGTTGAATCAGATCAATTTACGCTCACGCAAAAAGGATTCCATTTCAACTAAGATGACAAATAATCCTTAGATATGGTCTGTTTACCAACGTGAAACTAAAAGAAAAGCAGCGTCGATTATGTGGATAGGATCCACGCACAACACTACACGCAAGTCTCCTTAATCTCGTTTCATGCGACATGCTTCACTATAATTATTTTAGACTTTATGCAACCGCACTACAAAGTTTCCTTCAAGGTCGACATGAGTGCAGACGAAAAACTTGACCAGGTTTGTCTCTGGTGAGCATGACTAGGCGCTAGAATGTGAACATGAAATATTGTACGGCTATCAACTCAAACTCCTTCAGTGCTACAAAAGCTACAATACTTTACAAGATAAGTCAGTTGTAGATGGTGAAAAATTGCAAAAAGTTTGATCTTTCGTTTTCTATACTGCTCTTTCTCTGGAAAAATCTAGTGAGATTAGAAAGAAGTAACCCGCAAGGATTCGTGTTTGTTCCTTCTCTGCAATACGTAGCATTAATTTACCATCACTTCGGACTTGTCAACATTACTTTGCCTACGAACCTGATATGATAATCTAATATGATTGCTTTCTGTCTAAAAAAAACTTTCAACTTTTTGACACATTATTATTGAAAGACTAGCTGGCATACCCGGCTCCGCAAGGCTCTCTCAATACATTATGATAATGCTTGCCATTTTCGAAATCTACACATTTTTTGCTCCTGTCCCAGTTCTATGGCCAGTGCCGGCATACTCACTTATCTCCCTGTGCCAATTCTCAACCTCGTAGCTCAAACTTTATGAGAAAGTAATAAAACCGATACCGATCGATAACGAAAAGTAGCCTGTGGTACCTACCCCGCCCCGAAGTGTTTGTGCACAATGTTTGGTCCGGATCGGTGCAGAAGTGAAAATTCTATTTGGAACATAACCTTTGATTCAACTGGCTTGGCACCATTAGGGCGAGGTTTTGTGATCTAACTGAGGCCGCTCGCGCCCGCAACGCACCTGCGTCTCTCTCGCGCGAGTGCTTTCTGATCATTACCTAGCCTTAGTTAGGTCACGAAGCCCCGCCTTTGCCGATGCCAAGCCAATTGAATCAAATGGTACGTACAAACAAACAGACATACATACTGACAGACAAACAAACAAATAGACTTTCAATTTTATAAGTCGAATTTATCTCAATAAATAGATGAAGTATTGAACTGATCCAGAAGTATGCAGATAATTTATGAAATTTGAAATTTACCATAAACAAAACATTATTTTGCTTCGAAAGTTCTATTGCTCCATTCTTGAAAACTTTATTCTTTAACTTTTCTTTGATAAAAGATTTGCTGATGAGTTTAGGAAAAAAATTAGGCACTTGTTGCATCCTCTGGGTTCACTTTTGGAAACTGTCAGTAAGCGGAAGAAGAAACATATTGTAGCTATCTGTTCTAAAATAGGCTGCCAAAATATTGACTAAGTAGTGAAATATGAAACTAACGCGACCAAGATTTTGTAACTCAATTTTTATATTAGAAAATTACAGTAAAAAGTGTGGAGCCCTTTCGAAATGCTTAAAAACGCTCAATGAACATACATACAGCCTGTCTCAAATCGGATCAGGCAAAAAGAGTGGTGCGCCTCCGCATCGCATCGGTTTTGCGAGACGCTTGTCTGTTCTCTCTTCAATCTCTTTGCTTCACCTACAGTGTGCATATGCAGCGCAACCCCCTGTGCCGCGAACGCGTAGATTTATGCCACTCCGACCTAGTCATGATTGAGACAGACTCTACATATCCAGCTCAGTTCGAATGTCGAGTAATGTAAGATTAATTTTTAGTCGAACGGCGAATTGTGTAGAGAAATTAGTTACCAAAAGAGTTTTGAGCAAAGCCTGGCAGTTTTAGGCGCTTGATTGGCTTTTGCTAGAAGGAGATGAGAGACCTGGTCTGATCCTGGTTTATAACTTGGAGCCTGACTACACAGGACACTTAACCTCAGGTCCAGAGGTATGAAAAAAAGGTTTCCTATGTATTCAAAACGCACGGTTTAGGTAGACGAGGCGATAAAGTCCGTTGACAAGTCGCTAGAACGCTTTCTTCAAAAGCTAAAAGAAAAGGATATTTTAGGTTGCGTGAACATTGTTATTCTATCTGATCATGGTAAGAATTCAAGTAAGTTTCTTATTTTCTTACACAAATTTTAGGGATGGCACAATTGAAAAATCGCGTTGTATTGGACGAAGCGTTATCTAGTTTGGATGGTCTCGTAATCACTACAGGAGCCAATACATTGATGTTCCGAAACAACTCGAGTAGGTTTCCTTGAGAAAATCCGAAAATTTTTCCGATAAAGTGAAGAGGAAAGCTTGTCGAGCTTATAGAATTGACGTATGAGGAGATCATAAGTTCCTTGACGTGCAAAGGAAAAGATGTTGTCCGAGTATTCAACAAGAAAACGGTTCCAGTCAGATTCCAATACAGCGATTCGAATAGAATTGGCGATTTTATCGTTGTTGGACAGAGGGACGCCTACACATACCTGTAAGTTCCAAAAATGAAAACAAGGCATTAAACATTTAGATGACGCGCTTGTTGCTGTTTCATGTTAATTAACAAGCGTTTGACTCTGCTTTTTAAAGATGACATTTATATTTCTTTGCTGATAATAAATCATTGCTGTTGCTGGTATCAAGTCTCCTATATATGCAAACCCTATAGGTTGTTTAAAATATGCTGTTAAAATGTAAAATCTGAGTTTGATACAAACACAGCTGAAAAATGAGCGGTAATGAACTAATCGCCAGAAATTTGAAGAGCAACTCTCAAAAACACCTTGTGCATACATGCGAAAAATGGTTAGGTTATTAGCCGTTGAGAAAACCTTCATGTATGTTATTCTGTAATTTTTTGCAAAAAAAAGAACAAAACTTTGGAGCCTCTTTATATTAGGCTGTCCCATAAGTGTTTTCATACCTGCTTTTCAGGGACATAAATCATTTCTTCTCAAACTCCTAATAGAACGCGGGGTACCTCTTAACAGATCAAAGCAAGCTCTACAAGATGGCGTCCAAAGTTCGCGTTAAGCTTAACCCTTAGCAAGTTCCACACTCAAAATAAAAACTTCCGAATTTTTCGGAAAAAAACAAAGTCATCATATCTCAGTTCAAACAATTCTGAAAATTTCCCTCTTTCTCATGCATACACTCCCCTCATCGGATACTTATACTTGCTGCATTTTTCTGATGGCAAGAAACCAAGAAAAAATAATGCGCTGAATTTTCATACTTTGCTCGCCTGTGTAAGTGTTTCTGTGTTTCCCGCAAATATGTGATTATGCAGCTTATTCATTCAGAACTACTGCCACAAATTTGCAGCTTAAGGTGGTCTAGTTCTTGATAAAAGAGTTAAAGGATCAAATATGAAAGACTTATGAGACAACCTTATAACTTTACAACCCTGTAAAAGCCGAGTTTTTTTTTTCGAATTTTGTAAAAAATTACTAATTAGCACTTTCTAGACATCGTGAAGATATTCAGTCAACTCATAATGGTGATCACGGATATGATTACATAGAGCCTGATATGCATGCTATTATGTTTGCTCGAGGACCAGCTTTCAAGGAAGGAACCGTACTGCCACCTTTCATAAATGTTGAATACATGAACCTATGGACAAGTGAGTTTGTGATCTTTATCCAAAACACTGGCCCCGTAAACCTCCTCATCGCAACTCGGCTTGAACGCGCCCAAATTGAAAATTTCGCGCCTCAGCGCAGTATCGACGAAGCGACCGACACCGATACCTCATCGCAGACATAAAGAAAAAATGGCTGCACACTTGTGCTGTTTGGTCGTTGAGGCTAAAGCTTTCCTCTCGAAAGGAAAAAATGTAATTTTAATATACTCGCATAGCCCAAAAAAACATCTTGATTTGAAAAAATGAATAAAATGACATATTTCCATTTGAAAAGCCTATCAAGAAACCTAATAACAAATTCCAAAAAAAGCCTTTTTATATAGTGTGTTGGAAAAAATCTTTTTAGGGTTATTAGGTTGGCACATAAGTTTTGCAACTTATTCGTAACTTAACTCTATTTGACTGTGACGCACTCAGTTTTGAGCATAATGTGGATTTAGCAGTAGGCTTCAAATTTACGCAAACAATTTGATTTTTGGTAGCGAAATAGAAGAAATTTACGCATTTTTTAAATGTTAGCCAATTTCGTAATTTCAAGGGTCGAAAAACAAATAAGCCGTTCTCAGTCTGAATCAAACACATCAAGCAGAAATTATATCCGGAATGTTGATAGAAAAATCTCTAACGATCGTTCCACGCGTTTCTTATTTCTTTTTTTTTATTGAGATTTTTGATTTCGGAAAAAACCATATGGGACCGTCATACTTCGCCTAAAAAAGCCCAAAAAAGCCCGAAAAAAACCCACAAAGCCCGAAAAGCCCAAAAAAGCCCACAAAGCCCGAAAATGCCCAAGTCCGAAAGAGCCGAAACGCCCCTTCAGTTTTGACGCTAAGGCATATGTGTTAATTTTCGAGTCTTTTTGCTTCATTTTCTGTCGTCTGCTGTTGCGGCTCGGTGGGCTTTGCGCCCCCCTCACCTAGTGCTCGACTGCCATACGCCTCAGCTCCTGTCCCCGAAGGACTTCCGCCACTGGCGCGGTTGGCGCGCGCCAACACGCAATGGCGCGTAACGCCTACACTACACATAGAACAATAGAAATATGTAAATTTACTAAACTAATATACACAATAAATACACGACACGAATAAAAGGTGAATATACTTACCACGGGGAGAGTTAAGCTCTACCCCGGGCTACCGATGGGGACGCTAGCTTACTCACACTCACACGCTGACACACTCACACACACTCCCGACATCCAAGGGAGCCACCCACAGGCCGGCCGCGCGCCGCCAAGGCAGCAGCTACGGCACGGCAACACTGACCCCGTGATGTAAACCAACAACATCAAGCAGAGCTCCCAACAAATCCTGCGCGTCCGAGGCGCTTCGTGATGTTCGTCATCCTGGAATTCCATCCTCGCGCGTACATTTAAACAATAAATCAACAATCCATCCAATCGCGCGAGGCACGGGGACGTAGACACGACGGCGATATCGTAGAGACCCGACCAATCGATAATAACGGCGGCACGACGATAATAGTAAGATGGTAAGACGAGAGAAGAGCCGCACTGGCGCGCGTACGCGCTATTTATAGCGGTGGCTGGGGGCGTGCCTACGTGGTGTGGTCTCGGAGCGAACAAGGTAGCCGCCGTAAAGCGCGGCGACCGTGCCCACGACCGAGACGCGCGGCAACACGGTGCTCCCGGCCACATGCTGTGAGGAGCGGTCGATCGCGAGCCGCGACATCTGCACATCAAAATAATGTCAGAATTCTACCAAAAATTTGTTTCTACATTTTGGCTTCGGGCTTTTTCAGGCTTTTTTGGGCATTTTCGAGGGTTGATGGGTCTATGGTGTTTGATATAAAAACATATCTTTGGACGAGGAAAAAGTGCTGCATCGAATATCAGTCGAGTCGCTCGCCGGTTGATGTTCTATGGGGTTTAATTTGACCATATATGGAATTTGATAGAGTAACAAATTGTTTTGAAAATTCGGTAAACTATGGGAGGGAAAAAAAATAGTTTTGTATTCTATAAGGTTTGCTTTACCCACAGGTTACGTCAAGTTTTCGAAGGCAAAAACACCGTTGGTCCCAGTTTTTTCGGTAACTTTCTGAGAGCTCGTTTGTTTACCTGCAACATAAAGGGTAATCATTTAAAAGAGCAAAAAAACTACATCGAGTTCTTCTGAAACCTTCTAAGGGGTTTTTTCTGCGAGTTGTGGCACCCATGCAAAAAAAACGAGAATACTTTCGGGACGACCTTATATTTTCTGAAAACAAAATGTTATTGGAAGTTCTGCATTTAATCGCATCAATTCTCCAGTCTAAGCGGGAATTACCTCACATAAACGAAAGAGTAAAATAAAACCGAAAACAAGAGTGCAAACCGTTCTTTAACGCTTAGCTATAATTCTGTATGATAAATAATTTAATTATTTAAGAACTGCTGCAGTTGCCAGAACACAAAAATGATGGAGAACCAGATTTCATGAATTTGGCGTTGAACTCTGGCAGCGGAACCTCAACTCAACGACGTCCTGTAGTTCGGTAACAAAAAATTCTTTTCCTGTAGCTGTTTACTATACGTAAAGTTTAGAGAGTGCGATGCAACCCCTGATTTTAGTGAACAATCTTTGCAGACAATATGCGGCGAATGTTCTAATGAAGACAAGGTTTTCTTAGTAAATCATTGAGCTTCGATTCCGAATCATTTGAAATTATTTGCAGCAAACTTTTGCAAATTGGGCCAAATGCCAAGCTGGCGGAGTTTCCACAGCGATGTCCGTAACTTCAGATACAAGGGATTTCTGCTCTATAGCAGTATGCAACGATATGGCAGTAATGGACGACAAAAAGGAAAATGGTATTATGCAATTACTCAGATTAGACGGAAGTCTCTCAAAAGAAGAGGGCGTGGCCAGAGCGGAGCCATAGTTTAAATGTATTTCAGTTATGAAAAGCACAAATAGGGACCACTTGCGCCTATTCTCCCAAATTTAATGAGAAAGAAATTTTTACAGTGTACCTGGCAACTTTGATAGAATTTTACGATGGAAGCGAAGAGCAGACGATCTCGACTAATTGCACATTTCATCTAACGCAACGAGCAAAACTATGCGTATCAGCTGAAATTAATGACACCATAGAGTATCGAACGCTGTCAGCGTATCCTGGACGAGGTAAATGTTGTATATCTGAAGAAAAATATCATTGTAAAAAACTCGTTTTTAGTGCTAGCCAATGATTACAGCCTCATCATCCCGTGGAAATTGAATTTCATCAAAGGTGGGAAAATCAAAATCGACAACATTCTACGCCAAGTTAAGAGAATTTGTTTAGAGATTCTCGATCCTTTAAATGAGTACACAAAGAGCATTGTGAAGAAACTTGGCAAAGTGATATCAATAACGGGAACAGCTTACGACGAAGACTATGACGGAAAATATACAGAAGAAGTACCTAGTTCGTAAGTTCCGCTTTCTGGGGTTTTGCGCGGGTGGAGGAACGAACACCTCAACTAGGCACCGCCTCCGCCTAATTTGTTCGTTCCTCTGCCCGTTTTGCACTTCTAAATCAGCATACCGTATTCAACATATTTTTGCATTGTAGATCAGATATGTTTTATACTAAGCAGTGCTCACAATATCCATATTACTTTAAAGGTTTATGAATGGATGATTACAAACTGAGCAACAAGCATTGATGCAAAACAGGATGTAATTCAATTTAGACAGTATCCTACTCATTTATATCGTGTACACATCGCTTGTGACGGAAAATGGTCTACAAATGGGTCTTATTGCGAAGATCCAGAACAAACAAAGGTTTTATCTTTCATCTTTCCCCATATGAATGGTGATCCTAATTGTTTGGTAAGAGTTAGAATAGCTGCCTTTTCAGAAGGTTATCACCCTGCTTTTAGGAAAAGAATAAACTGCTTTTGCAATACACAGCACGGCTGAAGGACGTTGAAAGTATAAGCGGAAAATTTTTCAACTTCACAAATCTTGCCGTTAGACATCAGATGATGCTCAAGATGCACGTGAATACTGAGTTGTGGTAACTTATGTACTTCCTCGATTTGGAACTCATTGTTGTAGAAGCAAGGCCTACTAAAATTTTTGTTTCACATTGTCTGTCATGATTTCTTTGAAGCAAATGAAAGTTCGTTCCTGTGGTTTTTTTCGTAGTGTTAAACAACTATGTTTTTCCAATATTTTCCTCAGCGTTTGTATTCATCCAAAAGTTTTAATCGAATAATGCTAGGTTTTTTCTTGACCTTTGGAAAGGTACACGGTCTCCGTCGAGCAGGCATAGTCGTAGGTAGTTTTGCTTGATACTTGATACTTGATATTTGAACCATAAAAACAAATCTAACACTACTAGAGAATCTTCAATGATTCGAACGGTGTAGAAATCGGAAAAACCTGCACACCAAACAAGTTAGGAAGACTAAACAAAATCTGTCAATTACTTACCGTGAGGCTTTACTTTGAAGAGATGAACATTCTAAAGGCAGCTTCCACCGGCAGAGAAGAGTCTTTTATTTTTAGCTTCTTCGTTAGGTTTGTGGATATATTGATATCATTGATAGCCCAGTAAGTGTAAGCATTTTTATATTTTTAAGAATAGTGTTTGCATAGTCGTATATGTTTACTTGAGCCGATCACCAAGATTTGTAGCACGCTTTATTCAATCAGGCTAACGTTTCGGTGCCTTCACCTTCGTCGGAGCCTGGAAGGTCGTCACATTAGTGTTCTGTTCTCCCAAACGCCTCGTTCAAGCCAAGGCTACATTCAACATCAAACCAGACTGAAAGCCGTGACGGAAACCGTCGTTCATGATCACCTCGGCTGTCTTCGAATCGGGGTCGAGCCACCACTAAACACAGCGTCTGCACAGTCAGTAGTAGTAGAGACTAGTGCAAGTGTCTTATATATGAATCTAATCTCAGTGTAGATCAAATCCGCAAAGGGACTGATATGCGATCAGATCACTATTCATAGCAACGCCCTCTTCTTTGCGGTTCATTGCAGGAGCTTTGGATGTTATCCAAAATGCTTCTAGCGTTTTACGAGAAATTATTTCGGGTTCACGCGTTAAGATTGTGACGGCTATATCAAACTGTTGATCCGAGTGATACTCTCTGCGATGTGCGCCTAGGGGGGGGGGGGGGGTGCTCGGGATAATTTCTCGTAAAACGCTAGAAGCATTTTGGATAACATCCAAAGCTCCTGCAATGAACCGCAAAGAAGAGGGCGTTGCCATGAATAGTGATCTGTACAATACATACAAAGTACAATGACCCTTGGAAGTGCTTCATTAACCACACTATCCCCCCCCCCCACAACACTCACTCCTCCTCCTAAATCACATCGTTATTACATAAGTTCACTCTATCAAATGAACACAATAGATATCCAATATCTCGAGGAGAAAAAAGAAACCTTCTCTAAAATTTGCCACATGCACTCTCCTAAGGAGTAAATTTTCCTCAGTTTTTCAACTCCTCATCCAAAGTTGTGCTTTATTAAAAAACTTGAATCTATAACGGTTGCATTACAATCGCTACATGATTGTGCTTTGAGAGTGAGTGTTTGCATACAGATTAGTTTGATTACAGCTTAATGGTGGACTTTTTTACAGTCTAACTGACACTTAAACTCTTCCTCCTTCTTTGACAGCGCCTTTCGTCCGCATTAATGAGTGTGATTACACAGTATTGCGAAACTCTCAAAACTATCATTTTCAGCCAGAGCAACCTCTATTTTACGTGTGTTTGTGCGCTTGTGCACATTCCCATAGTCATAAAGGATGACCGGTGAAGCTCACTGCTGGTCATCAAGATATGGTAAGGACCGTAGGAAGTGAGCCCAGACAGTCGGAATCAAAAGGGTAAATTTCGCTACGGAGATCAAGCACGATGGATTGGCTCCAGATCGGGATGGAACCCGGAATGCCAGCAGAAACATAGAAAATTATACATTATAAAAATTTAAATAGTGGCTCAAGTCTGCAAAAAAGTTGCAGGTATCAGCATTTTAAGATATCTTCTGCATTTATCAGTTCATACTCTCCCTTTTTTGAAACATGTTATCGTTATAACATTTACAATACATTTCATAAAATAGTTAACTTTTCGATTCCCTTTTTGATTTTCTCTAACAAATATATCTCCTTAAGAAAGCAAAATCTCATTTTGTTACTTAAAACGCCTTATCTGTATATTGTCATCATGCATTTGCCAATGGCCTAAACTGTCTTCCCGCGAATCATTCCAAATCCTTTATTGATAACGTTAACCTCAATACATTGCTCTCTTGTTTTTTTTTCTTGTGTTTGTTCTTTCATATCACTTTCACTTATTATGTTTTGCCTTTTGCTTTGATAAAATCTGATCATTAGAGTTGAAAGGTCAGATCAGACAAGTTCAGTTAGAGAGCTCTTCTTTCGTAAGGACAGAACTCTTAAAACTAAATCAATTCGCAATTTGGACTCAAGCTAAACGATAGAATTCTTAGAAATTTTTCCCCAAATAAGGCAACTGTAACGAATATGAAGCGGGTCAGAAATTGAAATTCATATTGTTCACTTTGCTGATATAATTTTAATCACCACCGCATAGAATAGTGGTACGTTTTGAGGGCCGGGCATACTTCACGCGTCAGTCGCAACGCGATTTGGCAATTCGCCAGAAGTCTTCAGATCCAACACCAGCATTCCGCAAATGCATAGTGTGCATTACTTACGCGGATTGATAAAATATCCTATCTTCCGTACATTAAGGAACCCCTTACAGTGAGTTATGGAGAGAATATTGCCAAATCGCGTCGCGACTGAAATCGCGTGAAGTATGCCCGGCCCTCTAGACCATTGAGGTTTTTTCTTTGATTTCAACAGCTTCGTCTTAAACCAATTCTCCCAGTTTCATGTACGAACACATTCCAAGCGTTTTCACTGCTTTGCATTTTTATTTGACATTTCGACACCCAATCTACTTACAAAGATTTGCACTAAACCCTCGAATCAAGAATAATTTTATCAAAAATCAGCGCCCTTCGTCAGCAGTTTGCATGCGTCGGTCCTATGACATCAGTAAGTAAATCAAATGCTCTCTTATCTTCAAACCTGGGCATTTTGTGAAGTGTCAGTATATGCCGTGTTATGCCAAACCAGGTTTTTGGTGGATCTTTATTGGATCTGACGGTTTCAACAGTCTCGTCTTCTTCAGAGGTTTGAACGAAGATCATAGGTTTTTTCGAATCTGGACTTATACCGCCAAGAGCCTCCTCTCTCACCGCGCCAGTCTAGACCTACTCATAGGCTAGCAGCGTGAGATCATCGAGGTTTGGAAACGAGCCGACCTTGGATCCACCGCATTTCAGTAAGCCCGCACAGATAGTCAGTAACGGACGTCACTGAGTATCACCCAGCTTGTCAAGGCTTTTATGTGCGGCTGTGAGATCACATAACGATAGATACGGTACGAGATCACTGCTGATTGACAGACATTCATTCTTGAGATTCATTTTCGGTTTTCTTGCACATATCCACGCTGCTTCAAGTACTTTTCTAGCGCATATCTCAGTCTCGTACGATAAAATAGTGCATTTAATTTTATAATCATTTCCACCATGTTTCTCAGCTTTATGTCGCCCCAACGGTGTTGTAAGTAATCCTCGCCTTTTCCCGGTCAGATGTTCCTTCAGCCTTATACCTAGCATTCTACCCGTCTCTCCTATATAGCAGTCTTGACAGTCCAAACACTCCAACTGGTATATTATACCTGCCTTTACACAATCTCCAGTTCTTCCGTAGGGGCATACAATGCACTGTTCTAAGACGCATTCGTTATCGTACATCCTATTGCGAACTAACTGCTTCTTCAAGTTAACATTCGGAATATCGACAAACATGATATCATTCTGCAGTTGAGTTCGGTTTATGCATTGTCTAATCGCCGCACTGACTCTATCTGATATGAACGGGAAGCAAAGAGGTATTTTGTTTTCGCAGCGCTCACGGATATGTTTTTCAAAATGCGTGTAAGATTTACGGTGTTGTTCCTGTTGTACATAGCCGTTACTACGCGCGATTCATTGCCAGTTTTCGCGATTCGAACCGTTCAACGTTGCCCGTGCACACCGCTGTAGCAGTTTTGATCATGTTGTGGATGACTGCTCTTTTTGTTGCTGCGGGGTGAGCTGAGTTGGCGTGGATCAGAATGTTCTTGGAGGTTTCCTTACGATACCACTTAACACGCAAAACACCGTCAGACAAATTAATCTGGGTATTGAGGTAAGGAAGCCATCCGTTACGTGGTGTTTCTCGGGTGAGTCTGATGTACTGGGAATGTTGGTTCAAGGTGTTGAAACACTCATCCATTTCGGCTTGAGTGGAGGTTATCACACAACAGTCGTCGATGTAACGACAGTACATCAAAGGCATGCGTTCAAGTACTGGTTCCTCAATTCTGCTCATGAAACATATCGCGAGGACAGGCGCTAGGCGTTGACCCATAGCGAGTCCTCGTATATGAGAGTAATAACTCTCAGACCACTTGAAGTTGTTACAATTCATACATACTTGAATGAGGACCAGTATCTGCCTTTAGCTTAGACCAAAGGTACTTATGGTGGTGATGTGCTTATCCAATAACTCCGAGAGAGCTTGCAGTGCGTCATCGTTGTGAACATTAGTGTAGAGAGATGATACACTAAATGACTCCATAACTGCATCATGTTCACAATTCGTATTGCGCAGCTGCTCTAAGAGTTGATGAGTATTGGATAAGTGTGAAAGGACCTTTGGTAAAAGCTGATTCACGATCTTACTGAGGAACCACGATATGCGATCTGTTGGACCCCCAACACAGCTGATTATGGGCCGTATTTTGAAGATTTCAGGTGACATGGAGCGCAAATTGTGCGAAGAAATTTTGTGCGTTTTGATCAAGTGATAGAAAACCGGACATTTTGGATTTTCTAATTTTAACCTGCTTACTAATCGTTCATCGAGACCCGCATTCCTTCCTACATTAATCCAAATGTCATTGAGTTTTCTGCATTGCACCTGGTAGTTCTTCTTAGACGCGGGCTCGTAAATCGTTCTGTCTGCCAAGTGCAGACTTGCAATATCTCTGTCCAGCGCCTGCGGCATCACAACGAACTCGCCACCCTTGTCACTAATGGAGATGTGTGCACGGGCAAGTCGAACGGTTCGAATCGCGAAAACTGGCAATGAAAATCGCGCGTAGTAACGGCTGTGTACAACAGGAACAACACCGTAAATCTTACACGCATTTTGAAAACATATCCGTGAGCGCTGCGAAAACAAAATACCTCTTTGCTTCCCGTTCATATCAGATAGAGTCAGTGCGGCGATTAGACAATGCATAAACCGAACTCAACTGCAGAATGATATCATGTTTGTCGATATTCCGAATGTTAACTTGAAGAAGCAGTTAGTTCGCAATAGGATGTACGATAACGAATGCGTCTTAGAACAGTGCATTGTATGCCCCTACGGAAGAACTGGAGATTGTGTAAAGGCAGGTATAATATACCAGTTGGAGTGTTTGGACTGTCAAGACTGCTATATAGGAGAGACGGGTAGAATGCTAGGTATAAGGCTGAAGGAACATCTGACCGGGAAAAGGCGAGGATTACTTACAACACCGTTGGGGCGACATAAAGCTGAGAAACATGGTGGAAATGATTATAAAATTAAATGCACTATTTTATCGTACGAGACTGAGATATGCGCTAGAAAAGTACTTTAAGCAGCGGGATATGTGCAAGAAAACTGAAAATGAATCTCAAGAATGAATGTCTGTCAATCAGCAGTGATCTCGTACCGTATCTATCGTTATGTGATTTCACAGCCGCACATAAAAGCCTTGACAAGCTGGGTGATACTCAGTGACGTCCGTTACTGACTATCTGTGCGGGCTTACTGAAATGCGGTGGATCCAAGGTCGGCTCGTTTCCAAACCTCGATGATCTCACGCTGCTAGCCTATGAGTAGGTCTAGACTGGCGCGGTGAGAGAGGAGGCTCTTGGCGGTATAAGTCCAGATTCGAAAAAACCTATGATCTTCGTTCAGACCTCTGAAGAAGACGAGACTGTCGAAACCGTCAGGTCCAATAAAGATCCACCAAAACCCTGGTTTGGCATAACACGGCATATACTGAGTCCTATGATATTTCTTTGTTTTGTTTGCCAGCCACTTAGTTTTTGGGTAAACCGAAACGATGTTACTTTTAGCTTGATGCAAATTGATTCAATATCGTACGACAGAGCAAAACAAACTCTGATAAATGGCTTTCAAATGATCGCAAAAAGTTTGATAAACTTTCTAAGAAATTTTCGCAAAGAATATATATATGAATAGGAATATGATTTTTGAAAAAATCCGTAAACCTACAACCTGCTTAGAAAAGTCACTTAATATACCAGCTTTTTATACGTACATTTGCTGTATTTCCATGGCTAGAAAATAAGAAATAGCTTGCTCAAAAAGTAATGCGGAATCATGAATAATTTTGTACCACAAATCTTTTTAGGCATAGCAATGAATTGTCAGCTTCTTTTGAGCGCTAAATTCAAGGAGATACCAAAAACATAAAAATGCGATATTTTCTGCCTTTGCCTACTTTTATTCCTAACTTTTTTAGACGAATGAAATGGGGCAAGTGTAGATATGAATATTTGATGCGTGACCAATTTGGTGATTCGCACAGTCATTTCAGACGGGATTCTTTCGGATATTCAAATTACTTAGAATTTTTTTAAACTTCTCATTCATCGAACTTTTTGCGATCGCTCAGACTCCATATTGTAGAGTGTGCTTCGCTCTATCGAAATATATGTTTTATACATTTTTATGTTTTTTCTGTTCTGACAGGATAAGGAACAGGATTAGACATAAGAATTGCATTAGCGTCAACTGGATATTAAACTTCCTTTCCAGTATCATCGCAGTGTTTAGCTTACAGCCTTTTTAAATGTCAACTCGCAGAAAAAGCTCGGTTCATATGTACATTCAAGCAGTTTCCCTGAGTCCTTATTTTTCTGACGAGAAGAGTAATGGTAGATTATATGTTCCTCTCCTTGTGTAGCTCATAATACACAGTATCCCGTTTTCGCCTGGGCTGGACAGTGTGTCCTTGAAGGCACCGTCCACCCAAATTCTCAACTTCCATGTTTTTGTCGTTTCCGGGCCTTCTGAAGGCCCTGATTTCAAATATGAAGTCGAATATCCCAAAAACCCCTATTTTGGAGAAAGCGGGACAGGTGGAAGTGCAGTTTGCAGGGCTGCGGCGCGGTTATTATCCGGCGTATGTCAGCGCCGCAGCCCCCAAAGTTGCAAAATGGGCGGAGTGACCAGCTCTATATCACGTATCACGTACCTTTCAGAGCGGATTTCTCGCTTCGGAAGCAATCTTTTGCGGAGAAACTTGGGGGTTGGCTTTTAGTATGCCATCGAAGCTCATAAACCCTCACTTTGGGTGAACGGTGCCTTTAAGGAAATGGCTCGAGAAGATTGCACTACGAGCTTTTCATCTCTTTCTGGCCTTCCGATGCGTTGAGTCCAGGGCTGTGCTTGAAAAGTCGAAAAAGTGCTTTTCATAGCGTTTTCCGGCCTTGGGGATGCTGAAAATAGGCGAGCAATCGCCAAATGAGTCATGATTGGCTGCCTGAGCCGATCAACCAATTGCGCCAAAATGGGTGGAGTTACAGTATCCTGCAGCCAATGGCTGTTTTTGACGGTCCCTTACCCAACCCCCTCAGCAATTCTCCAAGGCCTGGAGGACGCTTAAAAAGCACTTTTTTGATTTTTTCTAAGCACAGTCTCAGACTCAGCGGATCCAGAAGGCTTTGCAGGTGCGAAAAGCTCGCACTCGCAATATTTCCGAGCCACTACCTTTGAGATACGGTCATCTATAGCCAGTAAGCCAGACGGATCAAGCAAAATCGACTTGATTTCTCATAAGAATGCACAAAACCATAAGCAGGCTCGATTTACATAAAATTGCAATTTTCATTCGACTACTGTCTTTTCAATACCCGAAACTAAGTATGGATATTAATTTGTTTTTTTAATTTGTATTAATTTGCTTAAAATCAAAAACTTGTATCTAGATTCACAAAAGATGGATTACGAGAGTGTAATTGCAAGTGAAACAAAAACTAAACGTATCAAGATCATTGTTATCGGAGGTGAGTAAAAGTTTGTTTTTTACTTTTTCTTCTGAAAAATCAGTAGTTTACGTTGCTAATCAATGTAGGATTACCACCGCGTAATTCTATGCGCTAGAATTCGAACATTTGTGCAAATTTTCTTGTCACTATTATATCATTTATTCAATGACTAGGAGAATTGAAATAGCTCTGCACACCTTTTCAGATTGGTCGTGTATTTAACACGTTAATACTTGTAATGTGATCTAGTAATATTTGCTGTTTGGAAAAAGGACGTGACAAGTCAAGTTTGTTTTGATCTTGTGCGCAAAGCGGTTTCGAGTTTTATAGTCACAAAATGAATAGTACGTGATGGTAAAATTCGAATATTTCTATTGCAAGGTGCCAAAAACTGTAACCCATCAAATCTACTCCAAAATAGCCTAAATTATCCACCGAGACTAACATACCCGTTGATTCAACTGGCTTGGCGACTGGAAGGCAGAGCTTCGTTGCTAGACAGTGACTAGAGAGAGACAGAGCGCACGACAGAGCGCAGACTGCGTCGCGAGAGCGAGCGGCTTTGATTAGGTCACAAACCCCGCCTTCCAACCGCCAAGCCAGTTGAATCAAAGGTGTGTGTGCAAAGTATCAGCTTAATCAGTTTTCAAGCACAAAGGAGTGATGGGTGCAACAAAAGAAGAAGCAAAAACCAACATTTGCTTTTTATTGTAAGCGTGATGCTCGGCAGGCCTTATTTTCAAATACCCAAAGTCGAATATAACTTTATCTATAATCGTCAAAAAATAATGTCGATTTTCATTCGCTTGCCATGGCACCGCAAGCGAACCCCAAGAATACTTGAGGGGTACCGTTCGACAGAGCAAAGCGAGTCTACAAAATGGTATGAACGACTCCGCGTCAGCTGTTCCATGTGAAGTCAAAAATCAAAATCTCAAAGTTTCCTGTGCCTAAAAAATTGGAAAAAAATCGTCCAAGAACTTTACGAACTGGCCACTCTCATACACCTATACTTCGAAACCAGACAATCAAATATGCAGTTGCTGCATTTTTTCATCGACTAAGAACTGAGAAATCAAAAATTTTTGTTTTTCCTCAAAACGACGCTAAGCCATTCCGACATAGCTAATTTATACGACAAGCCTTTGAAATTATAACCGTGGATTTTTGGCTTTGTTTGACCGCTAGCTTTTCGAGAAGTTTGATATTAGCAAAACCAAATATGATAGATCTCAAAAAGTAACGCTCGAAAAAGATTACAGTAATACTTACATTTTTATAGCGTAGAATTATTGACGTGAAAACAGGCCAGATGGTTTGAAAAAGTATTAAAAGTTTAACTTTCTCAGTTCTAATCAAAGAAAAAATACAGCAAAAAGTAACGCTCGAAAAAGATTACAGTAATACTTACATTTTTATAGCGTAGAATTATTGACGTGAAAACGGGCCAGATGGTTTGAAAAAGTATTAAAAGTTTCACTTTCTCAGTTCTAATTAAAGAAAAAATACAGCAACTGTAAATTTTATTGTCGGTAGCGTAGATATGTGCGAGAGGGAGATCTGTAGAAAGTTTCTGGGCATAGATGCAATTTTTTCCGGTTTTATTGGGCATCAAGTACTCTTCAGCTTTTGATTTTTACTTTCACTTGGCACAATCTTGGTGCGGAAAAGTCAATACTAGTTTCTAAACTTGTTTTGCTCTATCGAACCTTTTCCCACATGTGATCTTGGGATTCGCTTGCGGTGTCATAGCAAGCGAATGAAAAAATAAAATCTCTTGACAAATGATAATACGCAGTGTTCGTGCAAGAAACAAAGCTCTTTTCATTTAAGCAATTGTGATACTTCTTCTACTGGCAGTAATAGGCGTTATTATCTGGCTTATTATTCGTGCAAAAACGGTTGCTACAAAAAACGAAGAAGGATGCTCATTGGTCTGCAAGAAACCTGAGTAAGTTTTTTAGCCATAGGGTGAAAAAAAACAAGCAAATATTAGTTGCATTACAGATATTTGCAGCCGCACCCTCCACTTGTTGTTATCTCACTTGATGGTTACGCTCATAAGTACTTATCCCAGAATATACAGCCTACACTGGATAAAGTAGCCGAATGTGGGGTCAAGGCAAAGGTAACAATCTTATCTTTCTATTTAGTGAATGAGAGGCTTTGACAAAGCTTAACAATTTAGCTACAGCTTCTTCCTTACCATAAGACGTTACGTTCAGAAAACAACATTTTACCAGTTCATCTGCTTTTAATCACATTTCAGCACAAAGTTCCAAATGGAAGGTGTGTTAGAAAACATATCATGAAGGTGGAACTAGCCGATAAAAGCATTTTCGCCTCACCCTGTCAACAATATTTTCGTAATTAACATACTTACTTGTCCCTCCCCCCTCCCCCTGCCAACTTCTAGACTCGTAGGTGAAACTTTGCAAAAAATTGATAACATCGATATCGACCAATAACGAGAAGCACTACAAGACCCCCCCCCCCCGCTTCCCCCCTCCGCATTGTGTAAGCTTTGATTCAAATGACTTGGCGGCTTCAAGGCGGAGCTTTGTGACTAATTGAAACGCTCGCGCCCGCTATGCAGTCTGCGTCTCTCTCGCGCGTGTGCTCTCTGATCATTATCTAGCCTCAACTGGTCACGAGGCCCCGCCTTCCAGCCTCCAAGCCGTTATATCAAAGGGTATGTGTGCCAAATTTGGGCCGGATAGATTCAGAAAAAATTTCTATTCGAAACGTACGGACACACACATATAGACAGACAGACATACATCTTTATATATAAGGATTACTCTTTTAACTTGTTCCATATTCTTTTTTAGAATTTTGCAATTTCTAGGTGTATCCGTCGTTTCCTTCTGAAACATTTCCAAATCATGTGACCATTGCCACTGGTTTTTCTCCTGGTCATACTGGCATTGGTAAGATTTTTGAGTAACATTATAGATATACCTACCAGCTCATTATTTCAGTGGGTAACTACATATACGACGTCAACATAAGTTCTGTACCCGAATATCTAGGTACAAACTTTACGGATGAACACCTTACGAAAGAACCGGTAGGTTAAATTTTTTATAAGAAGATTGGCACCGGCTGGTGTTACCGATACTATCTTCTTGAAAAAGGAAAAATACAGCTGTTTGATCAAAGCAGCCGTTAAACTTCAACCGGCCCTTTGATAAATGCGCTAGACTTTAAGATCAAAGTTTATTTGGCCATGCAAAAAGAATCAGTTGTTCCAAAAGTGAACTCTCTAGTCAAATCAAATCTTTTGTGATGGAAATAGTGTACCGTTCGACAGAGCAAAGTAAGCTCTACAAAACGATCATCATAGATTCAACTAATTTGTAACTCAGGAACGTTTGGAGCTAAAAATCAAAACTTCTAAATATCCTAAAATCGGATTATTCTAGTTCCAGAGACTTTCAACTCAGCCATAATACAGGAGACACATAATAGTATTTATAAATATGCTTGCTGCCTATTTTCCGCTGCTCAGTTCAAAAAACAAAATGTCCGAGAATACCAAAATGTTTCTGTTTTCGGATTTTTCAGCGTTGAACTTAGTTATTCTCGATTATTAGAGCATATACAGAAGTATAATTCTAAGATCATACTTATTAAGGCTTTCATAATACAATCACCTATGTAGAAGAAAAAGGAGTTTGCCATTTTTTGACTGTCCTTTTTTCTCGACTTCTCTGCGCGGAAAATTTGGCAAATCCATCTATGAATACTAATATATTATATATCTGCTGTATAAGGACCAATTTGTAGTCGTAGGATTTTTTTGCAAAAATCCAATTTTTAGATGACAAATTTTTTCTATTTTGGCTCGAACATTACGTGGATTTCGAATTGGGTGATCGCTGGTATCCATTGTAGAGCTTGCTTTGAACTAATCAACAGCATCCCAAATCTGCTGGAAAAACAAAATAGTTTGATTGGTTAAAAAAGAGGCTTACTTTTGGGACTTTTGGAACTACGACCTCGTTTCAGTTATCATGTAGTGGATCTGCACCTTGTTGAATCAAAATCGAAATTATTTATTACTTATTCACACACGTACACAGTTGGTGTAGCAAGCAAAACGCGTGTTCTATCTCAAAAGTAAAATCGCAAATAATCTTAAGATATGGTCCGTTTACCAACGCGAAACGAAACGAAAAGCAGCATCGATTATGTGGATAGGATCTGGCGTCAACACTTCACGCAAGTCCTTAGCCTCTTCTCATGCGGATGCTTCAAAATCATTGTTTCAGACTTCATTCAACCGCATTACTATGTTCCCTACAACGGAGACATGGGTGCAGACGAAAAACTTGACCAGGTTTGTTTTGATGACAGTGACTACTCAGACAATTATTGCGACCACCCGCGGAAGAGCCCGCGCCGACGTTTCATCCATGCCGCGGGTGGTAGAGTAAACGCACGCTAAGCAGCCGAGAGTTACCCGCGAATGCGCCGGTAAGCGCTCGAAGGACGCCCGCGGACGTCCAGTCGAGCACTTGACTGATGCGCAATATGCATCCGCGGGTGGCCCGATACGCAGTTGCTAAACGCAATACAATGTACATTTATTCCATTTTTTAAACATCTGTTTCCATTTTTCTCGCTCTCGCACATGGGTCAGAGTTAGGGTATGCGTCAGATTTTGTCTTCTCTCCTGGGGCCCCGTTTCCAACTTCAAGTAACCCTAGGGGAGCCGATAATCAACGGCATAAACGTTGAGGGTACCTCTATCAGCGCGGCGTATCTCACGCGAGTAACTTTTTGCTTACAGCATGTAGTAATTGCGGCGTCCGGCAAGGCCCGCGGCTGGTCAGACTGATTCTGTTACGCCTTTGCCTAGAAGGGCCGGGGCCTGCCCGAAAATAATGGGCACGGCGCCTATTAAGGCTCGCGGCTGATCCATTGAGGCCCGCGGCGCCTTCAATAAGGTCCGTGGCCCGCCCGAGTGTTTTTTCCCGGGCCGCGGGTGTCCCGGTAGAAGTTAAAACCCGCGGCCTTTGACTAGCGAAAACATTGAGGCGCGGGTCGCCAAGCAAGTGAATTAAGGGCCGCGGATGGTCAGTATTGAAATTCAACGCCCGCGCGCCCAAAAGGTTGTCTGAGTAGGTGCAAAAGGGATTCCAAAGAAATTCTGATTTGCTGAAGAAAGAGCTTGAAGGATCCGTAATTTGTTCCCTCTCTATTTGTCTTTGAAAAGTTTTCAACATTTTGACATATCATCATTGAAAATGTATATATATGAGTAAGTAAATGGAAGGGTAGGGGATTTTACAGTGCTGACCGTAGCTATAAAGCCACTCTAAAAATCACTGTAATCTGCCCTGTCTTGACCGAAATTGTCTGAAAAGCCACTATTCCCTTTGCAAATCAACGTCATGTCATTGACCAGAACTGCTTCCAATTTCACCTGATTTTGGCCGGAGAAAAACTAAAAACTTAAAAAAAAAACAGTTCCGAAGGCTGGTCACAGCTATAAATACACCCCCATTTTCGATCATACAACGTTTTTGAAATTTAAAAATTTTTTCTATATATACAGATCAAAATATAAAACATTTGTTACATCTGGAATCTGGCATTTTTTGCAAAGAAAATTCGTGCTGCATTTTTTGCTCCAAAATGCTTAAAAAGTCACTTTCTTTTTAAGTTATATGAAGGTTTTAGGATTTGAGCCTTTGCAATGAGTGCGGGGAAGGGCGCGTGAGTCACCGTTGCGCAGCGACTGATGTTTGAGCGAGCTCCAACCTTCTCAGACAAATGACCGGAACTTCCGCAGAGCGCTTGCGGAAGTTCCGCAGGGTCATCTGCGGAATTTCCGTAAACGTGCTGCGGAAGTTCCGGAATGAGGTCCTGCGAAAGTTCAGAAGAATTGAACTACAAGAGCAAAAGAGGATACTGAAGCACGATTTGAATCTTACTCTATTGACTGCGAGACTCACCTACTATGATCTGCACCACGACTGACATGTTCTATAATGCACTCTAGTTTTTGGCGAGGCAATATCATATTAGAAACACATCAAAGTCTTGCGGAAGTTGTGGCAGGCCAAAGTGCTGCGGAACCTCTGGCATTTTTCGGGATTTCCGCAGAATTTTGAAGAAGGTCCTGCGGAAGTTCCGGTCTTCAATCAGTTTGGCATAATCCCGCAAAAGTTCCGATTTTTAACGTTTTCATTTTTGCAATAATGAACAAAGTCCTGCGGAACTTCTGCAAATTTGGCTTGTCCTGTCCTTCAAGTTCCAGTGGTTTGCCTGAGTAGATGTAAGTGCGCTTCTGACAAGGAAGGGATACTCGATCGCAATGACGGCTAAGCGGTGTATACCGCATATACCGTCCCCAGACGGCGATCTCTAAACCGCACTCCATACCTGCTATGACTCATTCTGGAAGAGTTATAAAGGATTTTTGATGCTGGAGGCGCATTTATGTACAAGACTTGCCTTTTTCAATAACGCGGTCTACTGATGAAATGGATAGTGGCTTGGACTGCTTAGATGGACGTCGTGGGTTCAATATCCTTTGAGCAACCCTTTTGCATTTTTGCAAAATCATTTATAGCTTTTCGAATGAGTCATAGCAGGTATGGAGTGCGGTTAAGAAATCAGCGTCTGGGGACAGTATACACCGCTTACCCAATTGTCACTGCGATCTGGTATTCTTCCTTTATAAGACGCAGAACTCAATTTCTGACGCGCGAAAACTTATGTTCTCAAGTTGATATTTTGTTTGCAAGGGAAGACTCATACAAATTGTCAGAATCTTTGCAAAGACATATTTGCAGCAATGAAGTCAGAACGCTTCGTCTGCAGTTCAGTTGTGCGCAGTGGATCTAACGTGAACTCAAACCTTGACATTTTCATTTTCTCATCAAATCAAGTCTTACAAACGTGCTGAGAATACTAGAATTACCTTAATTTCCGGAGTATAAGGCTTACCTATGTATAAGGCGCACCTGCCGCGCGAACGTTAACGCGAAAGTTGCGCCCTAAGTTTGGCTTAGATTAAGCTATACTTTAACGGTCTACTTATCTATACTTTACCTGGAGTTTGCTAAATGGGCGCTTCACAGTCAGGATGTCAGTGCTTTCAAATTTCGGAAAATTTCAGCGACATTTTGACTATGTAGAGGTAAACGAAGTCAGTGACAGATATTGGGTAAGCTTTAAATGATAACAGTACGGTAGTTCTAAAGTAAAAATTTTGTTTAGCAGAATATGATGAATTGATGATAGAGCAGACTGATTTTTCTGAAAACTCACGTTCACAAAAGATTTAACAGAGGAAGAATGCATAAAACAGTTACGAAAAGTTGGTGACGTTGCTTTTGCGGCATCGCACATCGCCCGCGTCATCGCAAAACTGCTCGCGCGCGGTGCACAAAAATGCGCCTTATACTCCGGAAAATAGGGTATAATGTTTTGAGCGGTTTTCCGCCCGTTAGAGTGGTCAGAGTGGGTCCTAATTACGCAGAGTGCACCATCCATTTTCGAAAAGGAGCATCCGAGGCGGAACCACAATCCTCAAAGTTGCTATTGATGTTCAAGCTATGCGCATGAGTTTATCGTTGTACAGACGTGGTACTGAGCACATGACAAAGCTATTTGGGCATTAGCACCTTTAGCACTTCGAAGCTCGTCAACCTAAAAATGAGGCTGAGTCTCGTTTATCAATAGCAGCAACTACAACTTAAGCAACTTTTACCCTTACTCGTTGAAAAGGCTCAACGAGTGCTAGGACCTTCATCCGAGCGGTGGAAAAGCAGTTTTCTGAAACAAGAGTTTTTATGCATTGAAGCAGGAAATGCAGTATGCATATTCTTTTCGAAGGGCAATACATTCCAAAACATAATAAATGTTTCATATTGTGATTTCGTATATGGCAAAAAATTTTAGATCCAAAGTAATTAGTGATGATCGAAAATGAGAAGTAGTTTTATAGCTGTGACCAGTTTTCGAAAACCGTTTTTTCAAATCTTCTAAATTTCTTCGGCCATAATCAATGAGATTAAAAGCCGTTTTGGTCAATCATATGACGTTGATTTACAAACGAATTAGTGGCTTTTCAGACAATTTCGTCAAGATAGGGCAGATTACAGTAATTTTTAGGGTGGCTTTATAGCTATGGCCAGCACTGTATGTTGCCCAAAAAAAGGTCGTCCAATGCTCACCTCTTCAATGGACAGATACGCTATTACTGACTTTACATTTGTATCGACTGTCCGTGCGGGAAGAAGCATGTCGACATATAGTCAGGGCTCGGCACAGGTGGCTTACCGGGCAGGCTGGATATCGTTTTGGAGTAGGAAGCAAAGGGGATATCGTATTTGCGGGGTCCTCGGTGGAGCACACAATTGCACCCTCCCCCCCCCTCTCCCTTCTAATCCACCTACCCATCTTCTGGAGACGTCGCAAGTGCTCAGCACTGCCTGTAGAACTCCATTCTTTGCAAAATCAACAATTTTCCGCTCCAACATGCTATCCGTGGAAGTGCGGGAATTCACAAATACGCCCCGAGGTAGACAGAAGCCATGTTTACAGCGGAGAGGAAATGATATGACACCAAAATTGTTGTGTAGATGGGCAATGGGGAGATGGAACTATGTGTAAAGAATTATGAAAAACTTATGTGAAGCAAAGTTGTGGCAAACTTTTTTATGAGTTAGGTGGCTTTACAGCCACCTGGACAGCCACCTGAGGTGGCTGTAAAAAGAAAAAGTCACAAATTTCACTCCCTTTACATAATTTACCAAAATTAGATAGTTTTGTTCTGAATCCAAATCCCTACAAACCAGCTTTTAAGGCTCCTCAAACGCCCTACTCCCCGCCTAGTTACAACCCTAAAAAATTTTTGTGTAGCGCGGCAATGCTGCTCCAGATGCGCGATGATGCGCGATGGACAAAGTTGCAGCCAATTCGATGAATATGAAATTGATCACTTGTTCTTACCGTCAATTTCGTGTTCTTTCGTTTTCCTTGTGTTCTTCTTTGCTCGTTTTGTTTGTTTTAATGATTAGTGGTCATATGGGATGTCGTATGTTAGCTGCGAAGTCAGTGGGGACTTCGTTTTCGGAAGAATGAAAAAGCCAGCTCGTGCTGAGTCCTGCATATAGTCCTCCACCCTCAATGAGCATATCCAGTATTCTGCATGTAATCTCATTCAATTTGTCTTCTTCTCAAATTCGAAAGATAATTTTCTTCCAAAATTTTTGTCGCTCCAGGATTGAAAACTTTAATTCCAATTTCTTATATCACAGCGTACTGATATTGACTTCGGAGGAAAACTAGACACTTTGCGAAACGAACAGTTTCTGTTCCTTTGACTCACCTTGAGAACCCTCTAGCAAATGTAACAGCATGAAGCTACCTCAATTTCGAAATTTTCAGGCGGCGTATTCTCAAGATACGCTGATGGAAGTCTGACAGCCTGACAGTCTCTCGATAAATAGAAGCTGCAAGTTGTAACCAAAAAGCGGTTCGTTAAAATAGCAAAATACTACGATTGGGCGAAGTAGAGATCAAAAGCGCTAAATAAAGCGGTAAATGTTATATCCTCATCAAAGAATCATGATTTCACCGATAATTGCAAAGACTGAAAAACCAGAACACCTTGTTACATTATTACCGAAAAGCAGATTTCGAAATCTCTATTCCTTACTGTACACATACAGTAACCTACAGAGACGCTCCACCATGTGAAATAAGTGTGATCTATATCAACTTGTCCAATTACATTGATGAACTCTATAGATCATTACCTGGTGAAATTACAACTTCCAAGGGATGGAAAAAAGATATATCCAAACTGGTGGATAACATGCTTTCATAAAGAAATTGGGTCAGCCTATTTACAAGTTTACTGATCTTCGCTAAGTTTCGTTTCTGTTCCCAATAGTGGATTCAGAATTGTAAACAAAATTCAGTCACCGCGCTTTTCACATTGAGTGCCTCACTCCATGGACCAGATAGAGGACAACAGGGCCGGTAGTAATCTATCCTACCTGGCGGCATCAAAGATGCCGCGAAGTTGGCACACATCGCGGAAAGTTTCCATCTTCGGCGGCAGCTCGCGGAGTAATTCTAGGTTTCAATAATCCTACTTAACCTTAGTACGCAATATTTCGCACATTAATTTTTGATGATGCACGCAGCCGCAAAACTGCTACCTCGCGCGCGGTCGAACCTAAGTGCGTTAACTTCAAGTGCCATCACGTTAACCATTCGACCATTCGGTCAATCATTGATGGTTGCGCCAGCAATACGAGGAACGCAGTGGTAAGTGGCCGCCTGTAAGAGGGATCGATACATTGCGTGAGAGACTTTGACCTGAAAGAACAGCTAATTGATATGAGCTAGAGAGGGGCGAAATTGGTGCAAACGAGATTTAGAAGGGTTTTTCAAAAAAGATGGTGTTCTTTATGGTTTTCAGGCATTACTAGATTTTTTCTCTGTAAGAAAATCGTCGTTTCAAGAAAGAAAAACTCATATAATGAGAAAAATGGTAGTTTCTTGATGGAAAATAGAATTTTTTGATTTTTTCGCCCGACGTGAATTGTGTGATATGCCGCACTACCCAAACTTGCAGACGGCGCCAGCAAGGTGCCACCACCTCGACATGGTAGGGGCACGTCAGGATGGTGGCACCTTGATCTCTCAAAAGAGCACGCTAATTTTCGTGCTCTCTGACCTGGCGGCATCTCTCAGCGCTGAAATTTCGACGAGATGCCGCCAGGTCAGTTCGCGAAGCTGCCGCCAGCACCTCCTGCCTTCCTCTACAAATCTGTTTTGGGAGGTTTTTAGCACCTCAGTTGCCAGGTAAGGTTCCCTAAGATCACTATAACCTCCTCGACCAAAAATACGTGTTGAAAAGGGTTGGGAGGGCACAGATTTGAGGTCGGAGTTCGCGCCGACTTCATGTAAAGATGACGCCGACGTGATGGCGAAACATGCCGCCAGATCAGGGGGATTACTACCGACCCAGATCGCCAATAGGCTCCATCCGCGCGGAAACGGGACCGGCCATACTATATCTGCGATTTTTGCAATTCCTGCGATTCCTGTGATTTCTGCTAGTCTCGTAACAATGTAGGTTACGAAGAAACAATGTACACTTAAATTTGTAATGCGCTCCGTAGCCCCGCATATCGGAAGTGGAGAAATCGCAGGAACTGCAGGATTACAGGAGTCGCAAAAATTACCTCCTGGAATAATATGCCCGGTCCCCAACATGCGCTGTGATGGAAAGTAGTGCCATTTCTACTCCCTATCCTAATGTCCTCTACGCCACGGACCATTGCAATAAAACAAGTCGAATATTAATCATATACCTAATGTAACATATAAACGTTTGTGCTAGCGAATGAAACTCTCTAATGATAAAATGAGGTCATTATTTTTTAGGCAGGCTGTCTGAGCTCAAAGTCAGGCAGGCTGTCTGAGCTTTTGTAGCTTTGTGTCCAACCCCACTTACCTTCAGGCCCCGCAAACCGCTTCGTTTTTGCACTGATTAGCAAGCGTGAAATCTGCTCTTGCCATAAAAATATTCTAGTCGCAAACCTTCGTTTCCTGAAGAGTTACGGTTTTTGAGAAAAAACGCATACAAAAAAAATTTACCATCAATCATGCTGCTGTACCGCGCATTAAAAAATTGAGAACTTCTCGTCTATTTCTTTCTGAAGTGCGACACTATGACTTTGTGGAGGTGAGAATGAGAAAGGAGGGGTCTTCATTTGTGTGCAAGGGGGGAGGTGGGTGCTTTTGAGGACTGTGCCTGACCTCAAGCCTTGCACTGATAATGCGCATCCGCATCGCATCCGTTTTGCGTCAACTCTTTCGCTTGCTTATCTGCCCTATCTTCGAACTTCGCTTTCTCTTACCATGATCGAATGCAACGCAGACCCCAACGCTGCAAGCGCGTAGCTTTATTCCAACGGTTCTCGTCCTATGGGACAAACTGTACATATCCAGCTTAGTTAGTTCGATATGCTAGTAATGTAAGCTTGTCAATTTCACTCGAGCGGTCACAAGTTGTGGACAATGATTGTAGCTACTTAAAAGAGCTTCAATAAACTTTAGCATTCTTAGGCGCTCAATTGGCTTTTGCTTGGGGGAGATGAGAGGCCTGGTTTGATTATGGTCTATAACTTGGAGCCTGATAAGACAGGACACGCAACCCCTGGTCCAGAGGTATGAAAAAAAAAAGGTCTTTTGTGGATCCATAGCGTAAAGTTCAGGTATACGAGGCAGTTAAGTCCGTTGACAAATCGCTAGAACGTTTTCTACAAAAACTAAGAGATAACGATATCTTGGGTTGCGTAAACGTTGTCATTCTATCTGATCATGGTAAGAAAATTAGAAGTAATTTTTTATTTCCCTAAACATTTTCTAGGGATGGCACAGTTGAAAAATCTTGTTATATTGGACGAGTTGTTACCCAGCTTGAATGGTCTCGTAATCACTAATGGAGTAAATACTTTGATATTCCAAGACAACTCAAGTAGGCCTTCAGAAAATCAAAATTTCTAGATAAAGTGAAGGGAAATGCTTGTCGAGCTTATAGCGTTGACGGATGAGAAGATCATGAGCTCTTTGACGTGCAAAGGAACAGATGTTGTCCGAGTATTCAACAAGACAACGGTTCCAGTCAGATTCCATTACAGCGATTCGAACAGAATTGGCGATTACATCGTTGTTGGACAGAGGGACGCCTACACATACCTGTAAGTTCCAAAATTAAGAACAAAACCAAGAATATCTAGATTGTGTATTGTTGCTGTTTTATGCTGAATAAGAAACAGCGTTTTCTATTTTCAAAATAAACAAATCAAAGCAAGCTCTAGCTGATTACAAAATATGTTGTCACATTGTAAAATCTGAGTTTGATGCAGACACAGCTAAGAAATGAGCGATGGAATAAAGCCAAAATTTGGCAACTTTCATAAGTTCAACTCTCAAAAACATTTTCTACCAAAAGCTTTTCATTGATGCAAATGGTTAGCTAGTAACTGTTGGAAAAATCTTCATGCATGTTAATGACAATTTCTTGTAAACCAAGAGTACAAAACTTCACATCTCTTTATTTATTTATTCATTTATTTATTTATTCAATACGCACAAAGCGTGCCATAATTGGAACAAAGAGCATGAACAGTAAAAAAACAAAACATCCCCAAAAGCTCAAGTCCAGCTCCGTGAGTTGAAGGAGGTTAAGCCTGTAGACCGTGTATGAATATCAGTGCAGATGCTCAGTGGAGTCTGTCCCATGCCCCCTGCTTGCAGCTGCTTTTATATCTTACAACTCTTACAAAAGCTTTGCTTTCTGATTTTGTGACACCTTCATCACACTATACAGCACATTTCAGTCATCGTGCAGACATTAAGCCAACTCGTAATGGTAGTCATGGATTCGATTACATAGAGCCTGACATGCATGCTATTATGTTTGCTCGGGGACCAAGTTTCAAGGAAGGAACTGTACTGCCACCTTTCATGAATGTTGAATACATGAACCTATGGACAAGTAAGTTCGTGATCTATATCTGAACCACTGGCCTATAGTAAATCCTCGTCAACGAAACTCGGCCGAGGTGAGCCTAATTGTAAGTTGAACTTTTGGCTCCTCAGTTCTTGATATACAGAGGAAACACCACACTATTTGTGCACTTTGTTTATATGTTTATAGCACTTCATCAAATGGTTGAACGTCTTGGCGCGAAATAGTAGGCGACATTTTCCTTGTGCATTTTTAATAGCGGTTGCTATCGAAAAAACATACATGTAAAAGTGAGCAAAGACATACACCGAAAAGAAGCGTATTCACTTCGAATTTCTCTCCGACAGTCACCTCTTCACCAATCTTTTCTAAACCTTAGGCCCCGAATTTGTGCAGTTTTTGTCATTTCTACGGGTCCCTTGATTTGAGTACTAACAAGCAACTTGCAAGGTTTTTTTTTCTCATCCGCTTTTGCACATTTTAACTCAACTCACGATCTACCTAACTTACAGCCAGCGGTAACCTACTGTGACACTTGATAGGATGCTCTTAAAAACAGTTGAGCCTGCCTTCTTAAAGTACGGGGGGGGGGGTGGAAGGTTTTAAGCTGACAAGGGAATGGTCAGAATTCGAAGTGGACAATCCAAACATGGTGCATACCACTGAATGCAGCATTAAACGCTGACTTCAGATCTATCTTCCTTATCTGCTTATCACTTTTGTGGATGACGCTATGAGCCGTTTTATTTCAAAGAATGCATATAAAAGAGGCAAAACTAGGCATATTATTGCCCATTTAGCTCATGTTTGGGTACAGATTAAATAAAGCGCCTTGCTGCACGTCTTGGCCCAGCATTTAGCCGGACATGGCTCTGCACGGCCAGATTTGGACTTTGCACGTATATTTCTTAGCAATATAATGACTCTTAATGGCTTATAACTTCTTCTACAAAACTGATAAGCAGATAGGGAAGACAGATTCAAAGTCAGCGTTTTATGCTGCATTCAGTGTCAAACGGCTTGTCTAAATTAGCCACTTCGACCTTTGACCATTCCTTTGTGAGCTCATGGAATCCTTCTAAAAGGCAACACAGTTTAAATGAGCTGAAGGGGTCTGCTATTGACTTACACAGATCTCTTACGCCAGCATCAAGTTCAAATGTGAAAACTAACTTTTACAATAATAGTTTCTTTTATATCAGAATTCGGAGGGCAATAGACGAAACAGACATAAGATCTTTTTAAAAGTTCGTTCGTTTTGCACATTTTTCACAAAGAATAAACTAATCTTTCTGAAGTGCTGATCTTCTTTGAAAAATGTCTAAAATTCTTCTTTTTTGATTTTTTTTTTTTGAAAATGTGAGTTTGATATAGAGGTGGTTTCTCTTTAAATCGACAGATATATTCATAATCTGCTTCAAATTTCCTAGAAGATATGTACAAAAAACCTTCCCAAAAGCATTTCGTATCGTAACGTAGTTTTAAACTGGTACTTAGTCACTAAAGTGTTCCCAAAACTTCCAACCCAAGATTTTTACCATGTCCAGCTCTAACAATTCTTCAAAATTTTCGTTTCAAACTTCCAGATATGCTTCGATATAGTTGGATAGCCTAAACAAAGTGCGATGCAATGCAATTTTTCGGCATCTATAGTTTAATTTCATTATCTCAACACCAATAAGTCTTTGGAATTTGGAACTTTCGAGAATCAGTTACGATTCAACACTAATCTTACAAAGCAACTGAGCTTTACCGCCTTAAAATCTCAAATTTCACATATCTAAAAACAACCTGGGGCGCGTTCAAAATCAAGATTTATGATAATTTTGTAGTCAGAGACTCCGGTTGAGAAGATAAATTGCCCACTGGAATTAGGGAAAATGCTGCTTCGAATGATAGCCTAGTGCTGCGCAGTTCATGTTCTATTATAAAGTTAGGGATGACCAAATTTTAAATTTAATAATACCAGAAAAATGATTTCAAAAAATTTGAGGAGTCATTTATGGATGCCACAAAAATGCACTGCCTGCAGCTTCTTTACTTTACCCACGTGATTATTAAAGCTCTCAACGAAATAAAATGAAACAGAGAATACAAGTGCCAACCAATTTTGATTGCTTAGCTATGATCGTGTATAAAGAGATCAATGTATTTTGAGAATTGCTGCAGTTGTCAGAACGTGAAAATGATGGAGAGCCAGATTTCATGAATTTGGCGTTAAAAACAGGCGGGACCTCACGTCCACGACATACTTTAGTTCGGTAACAGAGCGATTTATCTTTCCCATCTACGTCTATTATACAGCAAAGTTTAGAACATGCGGACTGACTCCCGATCTCACTGAAAAAACTTTGCAGACAATATGCGGCGATTGTACTAATGAAGACAAGGTTTTCTTAGTAAATCATTGAGCTTCGATTCCAGATCATTTAAAATTATTTGCAGCAAAATTTTGCAAATTGGGCCAAAAACCAAACTGCTGGAGTTTCTACAGCGGTGTCCGTCAATTCAATTACACAGAATTTCTGTTCCGTAGCAGCAGGCAACGATATGGCAATAATGGACGTCAATACAAGTAATTATTGTTTTTATTTGATAAGGAGGTGGACTAATCCAAAGGACATGGTCAGGGCAGAGCCGCTGATTTTTGAGCACTCACTTACGAAAAGCACATATGTGGACTTGCACTCATTTTCTTCCGAGTTTGCTAAGAAACATTTTTTCAGCGTACTTGGCAACTTTGATAGAATTGTACGATGGACGCGAAGAGAAAACAATCTCGAGTAAATGTACATTTCATCTGACGAAACGACCGAAACTATGCGCACAAGCTGAAATAAAAGGCACCGAGTATCGAACGCTGTCAGCTTATCCTGGAAGAGGTAAGAGCTGTAAAGCTTCTAAATAGATCATGTAAATTTTGTCAATTACGCCAAAAAATTTCCAAATTCCCAAGTTCTGTTGCCTGTTGAAAAACTCGTTTTCAGTGCTAGCCAACGATTACAGCCTCATTATCCCATGGCAATTGAATTTCACCAAAGGTGGGCAAATCAAAGCTACGTTGACATCAATTTACGCGGATTTGTGAAGTTTTGTTTAGAGATTCTTGATCCCCTTAATGAGTACACAAAGAGTATTGTGAAGAAACTTGGCAAAGTGATATCAATAACGGGAACAGTGTACAACGAAGACTACAATGGAAAATACAATACAAGTAAAAATCCTAGTTCGTAAGTTGCGCTTTCTGAGGTTTTGCACTTTTGACTCAGCATACCGTATTCAACATATGTTTGCACTGTAGATTAAATATTTTTGCATTAAACAAGCTCACATTATTCACATTAGTTTGAAGTCTATGACTGGATGACCCAAGTGAGCAGGAAATATTATTGTAAAAATTGATGTTTTCCAATTTAGGCCATATCCTACGCATTTATATCGAATACACATTGCATGTAACGGAAACTGGTCTACAAATGGGTCTTCTTGTAAAGATCCAGAACAAACAAAAGTTCTATCTTTCATCTTCCCTCACATGAATGGTAATCCTAACTGTTTGGTGAGCGATAAATTCGCTGTCTTTACAGAAAATTATAACCATGCTTTTAGGAGAAGAATAAACTGCTCCTGCAATACACAGCACGGTTGAAGGACGTCGAAAACATCAGTGGGCAATACATCAACTTTACGAATCTTGCTGTTAGGCAGCAGATGTTGCTTAAGTTAAACGTAACTACTGAGTTATGGTAACTTATGTACTTTGTCGAATTGAAACTCATTGTTGTGGAAGCTCCCTTTAAAATTTTTGTTTTACATTGTCTGTCATAATTTCTCTAAAGCAAATAAAAGTTCGTTCCTGTGGCCTTTCTCCTAGTTTTGAACAATTAGATTCTGTAAAACAAAGACAGAGATCTGGTGGTAGGTCCCTCTCCCCCCTTGTGGAATAGCACGACCGTGGAATAAGAGTTTATCGACAAAAACACAAAAAAAGAATACAGAATAGGCAAGAACAATGAGTAAGGCAAAAAAACGTGGCGCCTCGAGATCGAGCAGAGAGAGAACTAAAGTGCACTTCGAATGATGCAACACTTGCACTAAGGCCCGCCGAAATGGCGAGTGGTCCTGCCGCGAGCAGGGAACGCGGCAGCCAACAATATTCAAAACAACACAAAACAATGTAAGCGAATCAAAAGTACTATCGCAACCATGTTATCATCCTCTATCTTTTTTCATCTTTACATTTCAATATTTTCCACAGCTTTTGAATCCATCCAAAATTTGTTTCACACTATCTGTCATGAGTTCTCTGAAGCAAATAAAAGAGAGGTTTTTTTACGTTTTCTTCTTGTTTTAAACAACAACAACAACAACAACAGCATGTGCAAGGGTCAAGAATAGGAAGAAATGAACTCAACTTCTACCCAACATCCGCGCTTCCCAGGGGCGGTATATTTGTCAATCTCCTATATAGGAAGGGCTTCCTGTAGAGGTATAGTCGTCTTCTTCCCACTAGACACTTGGTGGATGATTTTGAATTCGAACTAGAGCACGCCCGTTGCGGCAGAGCGCGGCACATGCAGCCCTCCCTTTACTGTCAAAGAGTTTATTTTGTGTTTTCCCTGCGGTTCATTCTAAATATTTTTCGAATGTTAAAAGTCTTTTCAATTGATATTGGAGATTTTGTTGCTTTCGAGCGATATCTCGTAGTGCTAGGCTTTCTTTAATTCTTATTTCAGGTTGAGCGACTAAGTTTACTATGCTAGTGAAATCTAAGTGACATGTCTTGAAGTGTTGTTTCTGAACTTCGTGTCAAAGATGCCCATGTGCATCGTTCTCTCAACTTGACCTGAGAACAGAGCCAGAGAAAAGAGCATAGTACTGTGAAACATTGTTATGCAACAACACACTCGTCGATTCGGATTACAAATGTCATTTTAACAACAACAAAAAAAAAATCACCATGCAAGACAAGAAAAGAAAGAGAACTGCATGAGCTTGAAGTGGAATTGACGGTGCCGCGCTCTGCAGAAAGCGGCCTGCTTCAGTTCAAATTTGAATTCGTCTACTAGGTGTCTAGTGGGGGAGGACGATCATAACAGTGCGTACAGCCGCGGGCACTGGCGCCCGCGATATATGAAGCCAAGCTGATGATCGGACTCTTTTATATTCGAGAATATGGTCCGATCTGCCAAGTTTGGACACGCGGGCACTGCAGTCGGGCAGCAGAGCCCGACCTGTCTAGATCGGACTCTGCTGCCCGCCTGCCGTGCCCGACGTGGCCAAACTTGCGAGATCGGACAACATTCTAAAGTTTGATGAATCAAAGGGTTAGCGCTCTCGCTTTCCGGGCTCTCGTTAACAATGGTCCCAACAGCGAATGGGAGATTGATAAATACCGCGCCAGTTTACTTTGTAGATCAAACAGTCCTCACAAAGGAAGAATACTTGATGACCGCAGCCTTGAGAAATGAAAGATACACCATTTAAGGTCTCGGGCACAGTTCGCGCGATTTGAATCGCGACTCAATCGCTATAGACATGTGTTACGATTTCATTGCATCCGATCTTCTTGTATTTCTTGTGATAGTTAGTCACGATTAGCCGTGTTGGAAAACTATCACAACCGAAATGCAAGAAAATCGGCATGTAATGAAATCGTAACACTTGTCTGTAGCGATTGAATCGCGACGATCAAATCGCGTGAACTCTGTCCGAGGCCTAATGCATTTTCAAGAGCTAATTCAAGATCTGCTCTCCGTATCTGCTGTCTTCCTAAAGAAGTTATCAGCATTTCTTACTAGCAAAATTTGCACTTTTTAATGACAGGATTCACGAATACCATTAGAATGCATTACAAAAGAGGGTCCAAATAACTTGAAATTTTACGTTAAAAGCTTTACGAAGTGAAGCAACTGCGTTAACGTGATCTCATCGTGTAGCTCCCAAAACAAGCTCACTTGAAGAGCATACTTTTTGTCCCCCTGTTGCATATGACGGGAGTAGGGCTGAAGCACTGCTCCATATTCTCCACCGGTTATTCATCTCATAATCGGGACCAGGGCCATGCAAATTCAAAGTCTCCTCAATCAACAACCGTTGTTATATTAGGTTGGCTTGAAAATTCTGGGACATTTTTAAAAGAGATCTGCTATGTTTCGAAACTCAATGCATACATCCGACAGAGGTATATTCGATAGAATAAAGCAAGCTCTACAAGAAGGTGTGCAAAAGTTCGCAGCAGCATCGACCCAGCGTAAGTTTGCATCCAGAATCTGATTCGTACTTAAGGCTCGAAAATTGAAAATCATATCTTCGTTCAAATTAATTCTACGGATCTCCAAGTTGCTCAGCTTACACGCCACATCAGATACTCAAATGTATCATTGCTGTATTTACTCCTTATCAGAAATTGAGAAAACGTTAATTTTCATGTTTATACAAAAAACGAAGCTACGTTGTTTCCATTTATGTAATTGTATAGTACAAGCCCTTAGAAGTATAAGGTAAATTCTCAGCTTTCTACAGGCCCTAGTTTCCAAAAATTACCGAATTGAACTCTCCTCGCTAGGGTGTTTCATGCTAAAATCAATTTTTTCGAAAACTAGGGCCGTAGAAGGCTGAAAATTTGAGGTTATACTTCTATGGGCTTGTACTATACAATCATGAGTGAGAACAGCGTAACTTTGTTTTTGTATAAACACGAAAACTTACGATTTCTCGATTTCTAGATGTGAGGGAAAAATACAGCAATGATACATATGGGTTTTTGATGTGGTGTGTAATATGCATGAGCAACTTGGAGATCCGTAGAATTAATTTGAACGAAGATATGAATTTCAATTTTCGAGTACGAATCAGATTCTGGATGCAAACTTACGCTGGGTCGAAGCTGCTGCGAACCTTTGCACACCTTCTTGTAGAGCTTGCTTTATTCTATCAAATAGTACCTCTGTCGGGTGTACATGCGTCAGGTTTCGAGAAATAACAGATCTCGTCTAAAATATCTCAGAACTCTCGAGCCAATTTTCAATCTTTTGCAATAAATTTGAGTCTTTTAGATTGGTATTGTATTATCTATTTTAGATTGTAGTAAAAAGACACCTGTACGAAACGCCACCTCAAACAATCGAAGGCTCTCAGCCGGCAGCCACAAAGCCACGGCCAAAACCCACCAATAGCGACGTGTCCTTGTCGTCGCCACTTTTGCTTCCCGCTTAAACCTTATAAAGTCCGCCCGCTGCCATCAGTGTCCCGGTAAGTACCATATTTGTAACCCGCTACGCTTCTACGTCAGCGGGAAGCGACAATGAGGGATAAGGCTGACGGAATAGGTTTATGAGGAGTTTGATTGTTCCAAATTAGGATTCGTACAGATATATAAGTTTATCAAGGTTTTGTTACGTTGTCATACACTGCGAGGACAAGCAGTCACTTGCTAATCATATGAAGTCATTCTGTTGCCTTCATTGCGTTTCCATATGTTTTCTCAAAACCCTTTGCAAGCGATTTTTTCACACATTATCCTAGATTAAGTCGTGAGTCATGTACCATCGGTATCGATTCGCTTTGTGTTTTCCGCGCTGCGTTGGTTTATTGCGCACGTTTTGCATCGGCCATGCATGGGAAGGCGGCATTTACACCTGGCGCTTTGCCAGCCTTATCAGCTGATTTCGCAGCCCATTAGATCGTTTTTTGGCTAGTTATTTATTCGCTTTTCTTTCCAGGACCTCCGTTAAAAAAGTAATGTTCCGGCCCTAATCAGACAGATGTATATGTCGTTTTCTCAAAAACACCTACTCAGATAATCGCCGGGCAGGCGGCCATGCGAATTTTGAGCAAGCGGGCACCGGAAAAATAGTTCGCGTTTTCATGCGGTCCATCTGAAGAAATTTGAAAGAATGTTAACCAGTTTTTAAAGGCTCGGAGAAGTATAGTAATTTCTCTATAGATTAGTTGCGGCGCAGTTGCCGCATTCTCGCGGACTTTCCGTGAAAGAATATGCAAAAATATTGAGGGCCGCACGGTCCTTTATGAAGGACCGCACAGCCCATAGGTACCTTCCGCTGAAAGAAGGTACCTCAAACTTGAGTAATTAAACCATCGATGACACCTCTGCCACATAGAGTCTCATTTTTACTCGGCTATGCCCGAAACTGCGTTGAAAGAGTCCTAGCGCTTGCTGAAAGTTTAGTCAGCGCTCGCTGAAAGAAACTATTTGCCGAGCGCTTGCAGAAATTGCTGTATTGTTGCCCACTGGCAGAATATGCAACCGTAAAGGAAGTGCAGCTTGCTGAAGGTTTGGCCACGGCCCAAAATTCTGTTGACCGCATGCAGGAAAACCCGAATTTGCAGACCGCCTCCCCTGGCGAATATCTGAGTAGGAGAGCGAATCTTTACTGTTGGTCTGTCTTCGGATTTCTTGTAAAAGCTAAAACCACTTCAAATTTTTTGCTGATTATCGAGTAAAAATACATTTTACCTTCAACAAAGCGACATCAGCTGGTGACGCCTGGCAAAGAACAAGAGCAAGAGAAACAGTCAGAATCAGTCGCAGCAAAATATTAGATGACAGAAAATTCATTTTTCTAGGTGTTATTGAAAAAACGGTACATACATCCGTCTGATTAAGGCCGCTACCACTACTTTTCCAGCGGAAATCCTGACAAGAAAAGCGAAAATAAAGTAACTAGCCAAAAAACGATCTGATGGGCTGGAAATAGCTCATGACAACTCAAAGTGCCGGGTGTGAACGCTACTCATGTCGTGACGGACTATGCAAAGCGTGCGCACCAAACTAATGCGGCGCGGAAAACACCAAAGCGAATTGACCCAATGGTAC